GGAAGTTGATTTGCATAAGGAGCTGGTGGTGTCAGTTTCCTCTGAGTATGTGGGTGTAGGTGTGGATGGAGTCCTCCTCCCAGGACTGAGTGTGTGTGAGTGTGTGTGAGTACCCTCAGAGCTTCCTGAATCCCATAAAGTTGGCCTTTGGGGAAAACAGCCCAAGACAAACAGTCGAGGAAACCCACACTGGCCAGCTACACGAATCAGTCCCTTCCTTCCTTCATAAATAGGATCTTTTTGGTCGTTCTCCCTCAGAGACAGTTGAGAAGCCCAGTGTTCCTGCAGGATCTGCTGTGACCTCTCTTCAGGGCCACGCCCACATTCTTCACTGCGGGTGGGGTAAATCCTCTTGCAGGATTTACCAGTCTTCTGTGTGATGCCTGAGCTCTGGGAGCCAGTATAGCTGAACCCTCCAGGATAATCTCCCAGCGCTCCTTTAGTTACCTCCCCTGCTCTTTCCCCACAGCCCACTCTGCCTTGTGATGCCTCTCACTCCACTGTTACGGAATCTCTGCTTGGCCTTCTCCAGGGGTCTTAAGTAATAGTTTTGTTCTCCTCTGTTTTATCAGTTAATCTGATTACAGCCTTTCTTTTAATTTTTTAATTATCCCAATATAATGCATTGGGATAGCATTATATTTATTTTATTTTAAAATTTTCACAAATTATGCATAATGTTAACATAGTGTATCTTATTATAATAATGATATATGGGGCAAATATAATAGTTGCCAGTCGGGACCCACTCTCCATCCTTCTCCACCCTGCTCTCCTATTTCTCCTCTTCCTCAACAACACTTGTTACAATCTATCGTTCAGTGGTACTCATCCTGGTGTGTGTGAAGTGATATTTCACTGAGGATTTGAGTTTTCCTGATGGCAAATGATGTTTAGCATCTTTCATATGCTTCTTGGTTATCTGTAGATCCTCTTTGGAGAACTAGCTCTTGAATTCTGTGCCCATTTAAAAAAAATAAGGTTATTTGTGTTTTTATTATTGAGATGCAAGTGTTCCTTTCTTTTTTGAGATGGAAGTGTTGTTCTTTATATATATTCTAGATACATGTCTATTATTAGGTATATGATTTTCAAATATTTTCTCCCACTCTGAGAGTTGTCCTTTTACTTTCTTGATGGTATGTATACTTTGAAGCACAAAAGTTTTAAATTTTGGTGAATTCCAGTTTATGTATTTTTCTCTTTTGTTGCTCGTGCTTTTGGTGTTATATCTAAGAAACCATTGCCTAATGTCACAAATATTTACTCACATGTTTTCTTCTGAGAGTTTTATAGTTTTAGTTCTTATTCTTAGGTCTCTGATCCGTTTTGAGTTAGTTTTTGTGTATGGTGTGAGAAAAGAATCCAGCTTCATTCTTTTCCAACTAGATAATCAGTTGTCTCAGTAGGGTTTCTTAAAAAGACTTTTCTTTATCCATTGAATTGTCTTGGCACCCTTTGTCAAAAATCAGTTGACTGTAAACATGAGGGTTTATTTATGGACTGTCAGTGCTGTTCCATTGATCTATAGGTCTGGTCTTATGCCATATCAACACTGTTTTGATTAATGTGGCTTTATAGTAAGTTTTGAAATCAGGAAGTATGAATTCTCCAACTTTGTTTTTCTTTCTCAAGATTGTTTTGGCTATTCTGGGTTCTTTGAATTTCTGTATGAATTTTAGGACCAGTTTATCTCTTTCTGCAAAGAGGCAGCTGGGATTTTAATAGGGAGTGTGTTGAATCTGCCGATCAGTTTGGGGAGTATTGCCATCCTGACAATATTAAGTCTTCCCATTCTTGAACATGAAATGTCTTTCCATTTATTTAGGTCTTTTCATTTCTTTCAGTGAGGTTTTCAGTGTACAAGTCTTGTACTTTTTTTGTTAAAGTTATTCCTAAGTATTGTATCATTTTTGATGCTTTTGGAAATGGACTTCTCTTAATCACATTTTATTATTATTCATTGTTAATGTGTAGAAATACAAATAGTTTTTTGTATATTGACCTTGTATCCTACAACCTTGCTGAACACATTACTTCTAATAGTTTTCTAAATAGAAGATCATGTCGTCTGCATTTAGAGAATATTTTACATCTTCCTTTCCGTTTGTTTCCTTTAAAATTTTTATTTATTTATTTATTTTTGGCTGTGTTGGGTGTTCGTTGCTGTGCATGGGCTTTCTCTAGTTGTGGCGAGCGGGGGCTACTCTTCGTTGTGGTGCGTGGGCTTCTCATTGCGGTGGCTTCTCTTGTTGTGGAGCATGGGCTCTAGGGCGCATGGGCTTCAGTAGTTGTGGTGTGCAGGCTCAGCAGTTGTGGCTCGCGGACTCTAGAGCACAGGCTCAGTAGTTGTGGTGCATGGGCTTAGTTGCTGTGTGGCATGTGGGATCTTCCCGGACCAGGGCTCGAACCCATGTGCCCTGCATTGGCAGGCAGATTCTTAACCACTGAGCCATGAGGTAAGTCCCTATATCTTCCTTTCCAATCTGGATGCCTTTCCTTTCTATTTCCTGCCTAATGGACCTAATGATACTCCAGTACAGTGTTGAATGAAAGTGGCAAGGTTGGATGTCCTTGCCTTGTTTCTGATCTTAAAAGGAAAACATTATCTTTCACCTTTAAGTATATTAGCTGTAGGCTTTTTGTAGATGTCCTTTATCAGGTTGTGGAAGTTCCCTTCTATTCCTAGTTTGCTGATTGCTTTTCTCATGAAAGAACGTTTCATTGAATGTTTCATTGAATGTTTTTTCTGTGTCTTTTGAAATAATCATGCCATTTTTGTCCTTTTTAAAATTAATGTGGTGTTTTTCACTAATTTTTGCATATTCAACCAAAAATTTTATTTCTTATTTGACCTATTGTTTATTTAGGAGTGTGTTGTTTAATTTACACGTATTTTTGTTTCCCAAATTATTTTCTGTTGTTGATTTTTAATTTGATTCTCTTGTTGTTGGAGAACATGCTTTGTATAATTTCAGCCTTTTAAATCTGAGGCTTGTTGTATGAGCTGTCTTATGGTCTGTTCTAGAGAATATTCCATGTACACATAGGAAACATTTTGCTGTCGTTGGATAGAGTGTTATATAGAGGTCTGGTTGGTTTATAGTGTTAAGTCTTCTATTTCCTGTTCATCTTCTGCGTAGTTGTTCTGTCCACTATTTAAAATGAGGTATTGAAATCTCTAATCATTATTTTGGAATTGTCAGTTTCTCCCTTCAGTCCTGTCATTTTTTGCTTCATGTATTTTGTAACACTGTTGTTAGACATGTGTATTTATAATTGTGATGTCTTCCTGATGGATTGATCTTTTTATAATTATAAAATACCCTTCTTTGTCTCTAGTAACAATTTTTGTCCTAAAGTCTATTTCATCTCCCATTAAAATAGCTACAATAGCTCTCTTTTGGGTACTGTTTGCAGTATATTTTTCCATCCTTTTACTTTCGGCATAATTTGTGTCTTTGAATCTAAGGTGTCTCTTGCAGACAGTATACAGTAGGATCATTTTTTAAAATACATTTTGCCAATCTCTATCTTTTGTTTGGCTTTTGAATCTATGATCTATCTCAGTCTCGTTCTGTGGCTATAAAAAGATAGCATGATAACTGCAATTAAACCTCATTTTCAAATGTATTTTACAGCTTTTTATGGGGACAAGTCTTTTCTTCCTTGATATTCTTGAAGATTGCCAAGCTGGCCAAGATGGAAAAGGTTTTTTCTCTTTTGGAAAAATCCTTAATTATTGAACAAAGTGAACAGCACTCAGAAATTTATGGCCAAAAAAAAAAAAAAAATGGGGGTGGGGAGGAGGTTAAAAAAAAAGAAGATAGCATGAGACATCCTTGTAATGGAACCGTTCTGTGTCTTGACTGTGGTGGTGTCATGCGTACCTACATGTGATAAAATTGCGTAGAAGTAAATACATACAAACGAGTCCATGTAAACCTGATGGGGTCTGAATGAGATTGCTGGATTGTATCCGTCTTGGTCTCCTGCTTGTGACATTGTGCTATGGTTAGGCAAGATGTTACTATTGGGAAATTGGGTGAAGAGTATATTGGATCCCTTTGTATTCTTTTTTGTTACAGCTGCATGTGAATCTACAGTATTTCAAAATAAAAAGTTAAAAGCAAAATGCATGTTATCTCCGTTCCTTATATAAGGAAAAAAATACCCTCAGACATATTTGTGTGGGTCTGTTTCTAGGTTTTCTACATTGTTCCATTGATCTGTTGTATACATCCCTCCACCAGTAACACACTAACTTGATTGCTGTAGCTGTATAGTAAGTCTTAACATCCAGTAATTTCCCACTTTATTCTTTTTAAAAATTGTTTTAGTCTGTGTCCTTTATCTTTCTATGTTAATGTTATAATAAGCTTGTCTATATCTACAAAAATCCTGGCTAAGAGTTTGATAACAATTGTGTTAAACTTAATAGATCAATTTGGGAAGAATTGACGTGTGTTGAGTTTTTAAATGCATGAACATGATTTATGCCTCTCTATTTATAGTCATCTTTGATTTCTTTCATTGGTGTTTTTGTAGTTTTCAGCACACAAATTCTATATGTGTTTTATTAGATACTTACCAAAGTATTTCAATTTTTCGAGCAATTATAAATGGTATTATATTTTTTAACTTCTGTTTCTACACATTCTTTGTTAGCCTGTAAAAATGTGATTGATTTTGGAGTTCCCTGGCGGTCCAGTGGTTAGGACTCTGTGCGTTACTGCTGAGGGCGCGGGTTTGATCCCTGGTCAGGGAACTAAAAATCCCACAGGCCTCCTGTCACAGCCAAAAAGAAAAAAAAAGTGATTGATTTTTATGTGTTGATTTTTACCCTGTCACTTTGCTGACTCACTCATTAGTTCTAAGATTTAAAAAAAAAAATTGATTCCCTGGGATTTTCTACGTGGACCATTGTGTCATCTGCACATAGGGAGGAGTTTTAATTCTTCCTTTCTGTTGAGCATGCCTTTTATTTCCTTGTGTTCCAGCCACCTGCCTGTGTATGCCGAGGTGCAGGAGCCCTACGTGTACCTGCAGAGCAGCCAGGTGGAGGTCACCAACCTCTACGTGGGCGTGCCCACCAAGACGCCTGTCACACTCTTCAATGGCACACTCCTGCCCACCCAGTTCCACTGGGGCAAGGTGGGTGAGCCCACACTGTCGGGCCCTAGGCCTGCAACCCTCAGCCCCAGAGGCCTGTGTGGAGGGGGACATTGTCCCCCAGACACCTCCCAGAACAGATTATTGCCCCTGGAGCTGACTCTGCTGCCTGCCCCACGTGCCACGGCAGATGGGGCCACGTCCCTGTGCATCAGAGCCAGCTGTCCCTGTTCCCCATCACCCTGGGCCTCCCAGGGTGGCTTTAGTCCAGAGAACCCCTGACAGGGATGAGGTTCATCTGTGGTGGGAGAGGAGAGGAGAGGGACCTGTGGTTTATCCCCACTCAGGAGCACCCCACCCTGCTGGTCTTGCTGGGGGCCCCCAGTCCGCCAGCCTCCCCAGAGTATGCGGCGGTGCTGAGCCCTCTGTCTGGACCCCGGGTCCATCCTGGAAGCCCAGCACGTGACCCCACCCATGTGTCTGCCAGCTCCTGGGGCTCCAAGCAAGCTTCTGCACAGCAAAAGTCTCCCCGAGACGTGGCACGCTGGGCCCCTGTGAGGAGCGCCAGTTCAGCCTAGAGTTGACTGCTCATACCCAGGCGAGTGAGGGCTCAGGGGCCTGCATGCCCAGGAAGCTCCCCCGGCTGCCTGCCTCTGTGCCGGCCAGGAGGTCCACCCCAGACCCCTCTCCTGGGCCGCGTCAGTGGGGACGAGACTTCTTGCATTTGGGTCTGGGGTCCCCACTCCCACTGGGCCTGCTGTCTAGGGACACAGGGCCTGGATGTGCCCTGACACCCTTGGGCACCACCTTTAGCCCTCGCCAGGCCATTCTCTTTGGAGCAGGTGGGCCCAGCTTTCCAGCTGCCTGGAGATGCTGAACAGAGCTGCTGCCCACGGCGGGCCCTGTGTTGGGTGCTGCAGGGGAGTCTGAGCGGCACCCAGGTTCCTCCCAAGAAGGACACAGCTTCTCCTGGGTGCAGCCCACAGGAAGGCCATTGGGCCGAGTATGCTCAGTACTTGGGTGGTTGCCGGCTATCTGTTTGTGATTCTTGTGGGGAAGGAAACTTCTTCCTCGCATACACTAGCAGCCCCAGGTCCCAGTCCTCTCTGGCGAACATGTGGATGGTGGGCTTTCTTACACAGCTGAGTCTGAGCTCGAGGGTGACGGCTGGGCCCAGGCCTGGCACAGAGCAGACCTCACGCAGAAAGGGCTTGATTTCTATGGTAGCAGCTTCATCAGGATAAATGTGCGGCTTCTCCAGAGGTCCGCTTGGAGGGGTCTCCTTCACATGGGGCTGCCCAGGTATTTGGGGCCGACTCACAGCCAGGAGCCCTGAGGAAGGGGCCAGGCCTCCGGTGGGGGGCAAGGGTGGGCTGACAGGCTGGGTCTGGGCATAGTGACCCACTGAAGGGTCTGGGAGCCCTTCCACAGAGATGAGCCTGGACAAGACCTTTGGGTTGAGCGCCCCCGCCCCCAAGCAGCCTCCTGTGCTGCAGGAGCCCATCTGAGGCCCCTCTGCTGAGGCCAAGCCCTGGGCTTTACCTGAGTGATGCACCCTCGGTGGGCTTCCTTATAGGATGAGTTGATGGACCTGGCCCTCCCTTGTAACGTGTTGGGCGTGAAGGAGCCACTGGTTCTGGGCATTTCCGGGAAACCCCGGGGACTGCAGGTGGCCATCGCCATCTCTACAGAGGACAGCGACAGCAGGTGAGCCCAGGGCAGGCCCGAGGCCTGGGGGCTGAGGCAGCCGTTAAAAGGACCGGCCTTGAGGTGGTACCAGCCTCCTCCCCGTGATTCCCGCGGCCGGGAAAAGGCCCCTCACAGACTCTCTGGGGACAGCCCCGCCTAGCCCATCACCGCCTTCTCTGTGGTCTTTCCCCACACACCAGAGGCGTGGTGTTCAGGCGGGGAGACGGCAGGGGACGGGGCTGTGGGTACCTTGGGCTTTCCCACACGAGGCCTGGCGACCGGAAGACAGGCCGGTCTGCCCCAGACAGGGAGAGCCTGGGGAGTTTGAGGCCTCTCTTGGCATCACAGGTGGGCGAGATGGGAGTCTCTGTGGGGTGGCAGCTTTTTTTTTTTTTTTTTTTTTTTATTTATTTATGGCTGTGTTGGGTCTTCGTTTCTGTGCAAGGGCTTTGTCTAGTTGTGGCAAGCGGGGGCCACTCTTCATCGCACGCACAGGCTCAGTAATTGTGGCTCACGGGCCCAGCTGCTCTGCGGCATGTGGGATCTTCCCAGACCAGGGCCCGAACCTGTGTCCCCTGCATTGGCAGGCAGATTCTCAACCACTGTACCATCAGGGAAGCCCTGGGGTGGCAGCTTAATGAGGGCTTGGAGGATGCAGCCTGGTTTCCGGGCAGCTCTGGTGCCCCCACCCCAGGTGGTTCGCTGGGCAGGGCCAAGGGTGGCGTGTAACCGGGTGCTCGTGGGCTCGGGGCAGTGTTACCAGTGCAGAGCTGTGGCCAGGCCACCCGGAGAGGCTCCACCTGGACTTCGGCTCAGCAGTGCCGCTGCGGACCCGCGTGAATCGCCAGCTCATCCTGACCAACTGTTCCCCGATACAGACCCCTTTTACCCTCAAGTTTGAGTACTTTGGGAGCCCTGCAAACAGCCTGCGCCAAAAACCCAGCCTGTAAGTCTGGTTTCTTTCAGAGGCGGCTTCTGGGGAGGATGTGGCCTGCTGAGGTGGAGGGCTTCGGACAGGCCAGGTGGTACTGGGGCCCGCGGACGAGGGAGAAGTTATTGTAGGTGGAGGGAACTGTGCGCAGAGATACAGTGAGGCACTCTGCAAAGCTGTAGCTCGGAATCAACTGCAGTGAAAGTATTTACACCGAGAGGTTGGCTAAGTTTACCAGCACCCCGCTGCAGACGCCTCGCCACCAAAGCTCCTAAGGTGGGGGTGGGAGTGGGAGCTTCAAAACCACCGACTGCTGGTGTTGCAGGGCACCAGGAACAGCTCCTGAGCCATTAACTTGCCCATTGCAGAAAGTTAGCATGTGTTCAATGCAGGACAGATGTCAGCAGGAAAGAGTGGAAATGGCCTGTTGCAGAAGGCTGGACGAGGGTTGGGGAGTCTGGGCTGGGTTTGCATCCAGGGGTCACCAAGGTGCAGAGCCTGGGGATCGGGGTCCCTGCCCTGGAGCCCTCCTGAGTTTGTTGGGAGGCAATCCCTGGGGCTGGCAGGCAACCTGCAGCTGGGATGCTTTGGGTGGTAGGGGTGCAGCGTGAGCAAAGACCACAGACAGAGGTGAAGAGGAGGCCTGACCAGCTCTCCCCTGGGAGGAGCAGGCAGGGCCACCTTCCTCCGCTGGGCACCTGGGGGGATGCTGGTTGCCAGGGGAGGTGGCTCAGGTCTGGGGAAGGGCCCCGGGTGGCTTGATGTGATTTCCATGTCCCGTCTTGTCAAGCCCCGACATGCCTCCTGCCCTGCTGAAGATGGCTCGGATGCGGGAGCTCTTGGCCAAGCGAGAGCAGCTGGGTAAGAGTCCCAGGGCATGCGCTGAGCCCAGGCCTGGCCAGAGCGGCATTTTGCGTGGCCTTCCAAGGAGGTGGGCCAGTTGCTGCAGGAGGGGACCCTGACCAGAGACCATTTCTCAGCGTCTTTTCTAGCAAGGTCCCTGAGATGGCCGTGGCCTCCACCTGACAGCGCCCCCTCTTTTAAACGAGGCCATCCCCTTGCCAGGGCGTACGGCTTGTGCACAGGGCCTGGCTTCGATTCGGGAGGGGTGGTGGCTCAGAAGGGAGGGCTGAGGCTCGGCCCTTGTGGGAGGTGAGAGAAGCTGGATGCTGGGCCCCAGGCTCCCAGGAGGAGGGTCTGTTTAGCCAGACCAAGGAGAGGCTGTAGGTTGGCTTGTCTGGTTCAGTGCTTTGCTGACGCTTGAGGGTTTGGACCTATTTCCTGCCCTGGGGCCTGAATCCCCATTCCTGGTTCTCCTGCAGAGTTTATGGAAAGCATGCTGTCCCACGGGAAAGGAGCTGCCTTCTTTCCCCACCTCTCCCAGGGCGTGCTGGGGGCCCACCAACAGCTTGCCATTGACCTCACAGCCTGTGCGAACATGTGGGGCGAGTACTGGGACAGCCTCATCTGCACAGTAAGTAAACAAAGTAAACGTGTCCCAAATCCTAGGCTACTGAGTTATTGCACAGAAGATTTTCTTGAACTATTTAGTAAATTGGATGGGTTAGTTATGGTAGATATTTGCTTTAAATTGTGCTGTGCCCAATGACAAAGAGTTGATCACCTTAATATACAAAGCGTTTCTTAACTAACAATAAGGGGGGCAAAAGCATCCCAAATAGGCAAAGGGTTTGAATAGGCAACTCAAGAATGACAAAGAGAGACGGCCAGTGAACGTGAAACATGTCACCAGCACTGGTAACCAAAGAAGTGAGGGTTAAACCACTGAAATACTAGTCTTTGTGAGATTAGCAAGGTTCAAAAGTTGTCAGTGAAGGTGCAGGGGAAAGGTACTCACGTGCACGGCGAGGCCGGCTGGGAAATGTGTGCCGCCGTTCAGAGGCACTTCTGCAGGGCGCTGGGGACACACAGTTAAGGTTGCCCCAAGGAAAGAAGTGGACACAGGGAACAAGTAAATTCACACCAGGCTTCCTTTTCTTCTCAGCGTTGTTTGTAATAGAGGGGGGAGAAAAAAGCAAACGGTGTAAACATCCATGTCCATCAGGAGAAGATAGGATGAAAACATTAGGCTACATCCACGCAGTAGAATTCCGGAGCCTGTTAAATGATGCTGTAAACCTTCATTAGTAAAATTATCATATGTTGTAAAGAGAAAAGAGATTACCAAAACAAAGCATGCCCAGAATGCTCCTCATTTATATCTGTGTTTTATGCACACAAGTCTGTCTAGACAGTGGTACACTGAAATGTTAACAGTGAGTCATGCTGGGGGGTGGGGTAGGATCATGGGTGAAATACATTCTATTTTAAATTAAAAAAAGACATTTATCGCTTTTTATTAGCAGAGAAAAATAATAAAGTTATTTCCATTTAAAAGATAAAGAAATTTAATCAAAGGGGCCATAAGAGGCCAAAGACCCTCAAGCTGGGAGATCCGTGCAGTCGCACGCAGGGCTGGGTGGGAGAGCAGGACAGGGAAGCGGGGGCTGGGAGGCCAGGCCTTTGGGGGCGTCTGGGGTGAGTGTCAGACAGGGGGGAGTGAGTCCCCGCCCAGTTGCGACCAAACTTTGGGGGCCCTGGGCTGGCTGGAGGAGGGAGGGCCTCGAACGGAGGGGATGGGGAGCCAGGGGTTGTGGTAGGAGCCGGTGCCGAGAGCAACGCATGACTGCTGTTTTTGTAGGTGGGAGACCTGCCTCCAGCGGTCATCCCGGTGCACATGGCGGTGGTGGGCTGCCCCATCAGCTTCCACAGGACCACCCACTACACCACTGACCAAATCCAGAAGGAGCCTGTTGTCAGGTATCCCTGCCTCGCCCCCGCCCGCCTCCTGCTCTAACCCTCGAAACCCTCTGGCCTCCACCCCGGGCTGCCCACTCCAGCTCATTGCTGTCCCGCTGGCCCAGGGCCACTTGGTGCCACCCAGCTCGAAAGTCCCAAGCCAGGGCTACCCCAGAGGAGAGAGGCCTCAGGGGGCACAGCCGTGATCTGCACATCTCCGAGGGCTTTGCGGGGACAGAAGTACCGAGTAGTCACTTGTGGTCCGAGGTCAGGGCCGGACTTGGGACCCCTCACTCCAACTGCGTTGGGGTCTGTGTGGTTGCAGAGTGGGTGGGGTTTACTGGTGAGCAGTCCTGGGTCATGGTTCACCGGGCACCGCGTGGGGAGGGCCTCCAGCCCTGGGACTCGGTTGCTCTGGGCCGAAGACAGACCGCTATGGGGCCTCCTGCCTGCCTGAGCCCCGGCCCTCCTCTCTCAGGAGAGCTGGCCTGCGGGGTGTGTGCTGGCTGTGGCCCTGCTGACCCTCGTCTCCTGTCTCCAGGTTCGGCACCCAGGTCTCTGGAGGAGACACAGTCACCCGGATCCTTCGCCTGAGTAATTCCAGCCCCTGTGGTGAGATGCTCGCGAGAGAAATCGGGACTCTTGCTGCAGGCTCTGCCGTGTGGTGGGCCAGGCTGGGAGGGAAGATTGGGGTGGGGGAAGCTGATGGCCCACGACCTGGAGCCAAGTGGGCTGGGGTATGGAGGGAGGCCCCCAAGGGCCAAGGTCAGGACTGGCCAAGCCAGTCTTGGGTTGTCAGAGCCACTTCCACCCGAGAAGACAGGACTTATCCTTGCCTGGGGTCTCCCAGTGTCCATGGGCCACAGATGCCCTCCCCTGGTTGGGTTCACTTTGCATAGGGACAGGCACTTGTAGGGGACACCTTTTCTCTTCCCTTCAGCCAGCAGCCCCTGAGCTATTTGCCAGGTGCTGTGCAAGGAGCTGGGGATACAGGGGCAACAGGACAGCAGGGGCTGTGCCTGATGGGCAGGACGGACGTGACCATGGGCTGCCAGCGTAGAGTGCACTGAGTGCAACTATGGGGGCGGCCAGAGTGCTGGGGGTCTGTGTCAAGGGCCATCAGGCTGAGGCCAGGAGGAGAGCGACCCAGCTGGGCCTGAGGGAGCGTATGGGCCACAGGAAGAGCCAGGGCCAGCTGAGAACCAGAGTCTCCTGGGGATTACTTAAAGCACCTTGAGGCTGGGCCACCCCGGACCAAGTGAACCACAGTCTCTAGTGGCAGGGCCTGGGCACTGTAGTTTTTAAGCTCCTCGAGGACTCAAGGGAACATCCTGTTGGTGGAAGAGAATGGCCACTCTGTGACCTTGCTTGTTTTTGTCCACTGGATCTGTGCATTTGGGGTGCATTGGACCACTCTAATCATATCTTAATCAAGTTCTTCTGGCGTTTGTAGTTTTGCTGTATGTTTTTAGCTTCTGTATTGTTAGATGCACTTGACAGCTAACGAGGCCTCTTATCACCCTGTAACCTTCCTCTTTGGCCCCTTCAGTGCTTAAATCCCACCTCGCCGAAGAGCAGCATTGCTCCCGCTGGTTGTATACTGGCACTTGCCTGGTATGTCTTTGCCCATCCCTCTGTTTTCACCTTTTATGACTTTGATGTGTGTTTCTTTGTAAACAGCCGAGCGCTGAGCTTTAGAAAACCTAATCTATGTATTTCTCATTTTATGATTTATTTCACTGTTATTTTTCTACTTTCTTCGTTTTGCTTTTGGTGACTTCTGTTTTCCCTTTGTTTGATTTGGGATTTCTCTTCTACTTTCCTGGTTACCGTTGCTTCCTTGGGGCTCATCATCACATGCACATTTCTCCGTACCTGAAAGTGAGATTGTCCTCTGCACTTGAGAGTATGGAAGCCACTGGTGGCCTTGGTGAGAGTGATTCCGTGCGTGAAAGAGGCAGATACCAGGTAGTAACCCTAGGGACTACAAGTTCAGGGACCTTGCGTGGGCATGTCTTCACCAGGCATTCATTCCCCAGGGGCGAGCCATGAATCCGAGGTGAGCTGGGAGTGGGCGGAGGCGCTCATGGATTGTTTATCCTCCAAGCTTGCTGTGGAGAGGAGAGGTGGTACTGGAAAGGTCTGGCAGAGGGAAGCTTGTTTAAGTGCTGTGGGGAAGCAGCCAGGAGAGAGGGGAGATGGGACACATCTGGCCCCTGAGAAGAGGGGTGTAGGGATGGGGTAGATGCAGATAGATGGGGGGCTCCGGGCAGGACTTTTTTCTGGGAGGTGAGGTGGGACCACCCACTGAGTGCCAGAGGAGACCAGGGAAGACAGTGTTGTGGTGCAGGTAGGCAGGGACGGCTGAGCAGGAAACAGTGATGGGCAGAGTGGGGGCACAGTTTAGGTTGGGGACATATTTATGGGAGTGGCACGTTGTTTAGAACGCGGGGGACTTGCTCACTGGGGCCTAGATGGTCGGTTCCGTTCCCCCAGGGTTAGGTTTTTGCCCAGTGGGTACAAAGATGGGGGCAAAGAGAGAGATGAGAATCCTGGCCAGACAGTTGCCAGTGGCAGCCCCCAGAGACTCGCCTGGCTGGGGAAGGAAGTGAAAGCAGGCAGGCGCTAAAGGATGGAGGAGGGGAGGAGGCAGGGGACACGGGGAGTGAAGGGCCCAGGGGTCAGCAAAAAGGCCAGAAGGAAAGGAGGGTGTGGGGAGAGCACACAGGGAGCCGGATTTCTGCATCTGGACATGAAACCTGGTCTTGTGATCCAGAGGGCAAGGGCTGATGGAGCCGATGGCATAAGCCTGTAGACTCTCCTAAAACAAGAATTGCCTGCAAGTGACATTGGGGAGCCAGGCCCCCTCCACCCTGAGTGTGGGAGACCCGGCAGCCTCCGGGGGCTGCAGGGAGTGGGGGGGGGGCGCCAGGGAAGAGTCTGCTCCTTCCTTATCCCTCGCCTTTCTCCCCCATGTCTGCCCCAGACATCCGCCTGGACTGGGAGACCTACGTTCCAGAGGCCAGGGAGGACCGGCTGCTGGAGCTGCTGGTGTCCTATGGGCCACCCTTCGCGCTGCGGGACCAAGCTGGGAACGGCCTCCTGTGCCCTGAGACCAGCAGCTCCTTCTGGTCCCCAAGTCCCTCTGACGTGTCCAAGTCCAGCCGTGAAGCTGCCCAGTCTGTGAGCAGGGGTGGCGGGAGGGCTGCCGGGCTGTGGCCAGTGGGCCTCGAGCCTGCGTGAGCCTCAGCGACTCCTGGACCACAGGCTGAGGGCGGCTCCAGTGCCGGCGCCTCCCAGGAAATCATCTCGGTCACCCTGCAGGGACGTGAGGGGGTGCCCTCTGACGAGCCGTTCTCCATCAGCCCCAAGCAGGTGGTGAGTTGGGGTGGGGCCGGGAGCTCTGGGCGGGGGTGGGGGGGCGGGGGGGGGGTGTCCCCCTGGCCGGGAGGGACAGGCGGCGCTGAGGCTGCTGTGTGCGTCTGCCAGGTGGTCCCCGCAGGGGGCAGCAGCACCATCTGCATCTCCTTCACACCCGTGGTCCTGGGCCCCGACGTCCTGCACAAGGTGGAGTGTACTGGCTCCGCCCTGGGCTCCATGAGCTTGGATGACGAGGTGAGCGCTCCTGGCCTGGGGAGGGTCCCCACCACTGCCTCTCCCTGGGGCAGCTCGCCCACTGCCTGCTCAGCTCGGGCGCCCGTGATCGGGCTTGTGCTCGGCAGGTGGAGAGGGAGCTTCCGGGGAGGAGGCGCCGCCTGCCGGGCTCGGCTGTGGGACCCGTGAGGCTGCACCTGCAAGGCTACGTGAGGCCCGCGCAGTGAGTCGGCTGGGCTGCCTGGCCTCCCTGCGGCCCGCTGTGGGGGTCAGCCTTCCCTGGCACTGCTGGGGACCAGACAGGGTCCTGGGAGCAAGAGGATGGGGACGGGAGGGAGAAGCTGGCGGGTGAGCCCAGGGAAAGGCCGGCCAGGGTCAGCTGGGGCCCAGAAGCCCAGCCGTGCCTGTCGCTGGCAGGCTGAGCGTGGAGCTGGACTCCGGCGGCAGCATGGTGTTCTGGCACCAGGCCAGCGACCTCATCCCCGAGCAGCGCTGTGCTGGGGTGAGTGTGCTGCACCCCCCCCCCCCCCCCCCCCCCCCCCAGCCCCCCCGTCCCCCGCTGTCTCCCGCGGCCCCCCGCGGGGCACAGGCCTGACAGTCCGGGTCCCCTCCCCCGGGACCCCCCACCCCCCACCCGAGTCAGAGGTTCCGGAGGGCAGAATTGAGTCCCCTCCCAGACCTCTGTGGCCGCCCAGGTGCTGAGTGAGCTGGCGGGACCCCCCACCCGAGTCAGAGGTTCCGGAGGGCAGAATTGAGTCCCCTCCCCGACTTCTGTGGCCGCCCAGGTGCTGAGTGAGTTGGTGACCACCCACCACCTGAAGCTGACCAACACCACGGACATCCCACACTACTTCCGGCTCCTGGTCTCCAGGCCCTTCTCTGTTTCTCAAGATGGAGTGAGCCGCAGCCACAGGGCTCCCGGTCCCAGCTGGAAGCAGGAGTGCAAGGAGGGGACAGCAGCAGCCGGCAAGCAGCTGGTACTCTACCCACAGGAGAACATGCTGGTCAGTGGGAGCTTCTGTGGTCCCTGCCTACAGTGGGCACACTCACCTGGGCTGGGGCTCACCCTCCTCTCACGTTTGCGCATGCAGCACCCTCCAGGTCGGGACATAGACACAGACAGTGGTGTCCACACACGAACCACACGCTTGGCCCCGCCGTGCGCTGTGCGCTCAGGGGCGGACACCCATCACACGCACCATGTCCAGCAAACCCCTCCGCACGGGCCCTCCACGCGCAGGAACGCCCAGACCTATCAGTGTGGACACTCGCGAGTTCCCTCTACCAGTGTCCTGGTCCTGCGAGCACCTCCACGCGGCACAGACCCCCCTTCTTGTGTGCCATCACGCAGGGTTTCATCACCATCTTTCCATAAACATAAGGCACACCAGAAACACAGTTCCCCAGGCCCCACTGCCAGAGATGAGAAGATCTGGGCTGAGGCCCAGGAACACGTTTCCCTAACAGGTGCCTTTGATGAATCTGTGGATCTGGGTCCACAGACCTGGGTTGGGGAGCCCCGTGTACAAGCCCCATCCTGTTAGGCCCAAGTTACACCCTGGACCCCAGATACCCACTCATGCTCCCCCAGCCCCCTCCCCACAGCCTCCAGGGTGGCCCCTGAGGAAGGCAAAGCTGACTGCACATCCTCTGCTTAAAACCCGGCAGGGGCTCCTCACTGCCCCCAGAACAAAGACACAGGCCTGACTTGGGCCTACGGGCCTGCCCGCAGCCCTGGTCACGCGAGTGGAGCCGCCCAATCCTCCGGCCTCTCAGCTCCCGAGGGCCGCTCAGCCCTGTCCCCGGTACTGACAGCTGTTGGGCGGGGAACAGGGCACAGGGTGAGGAGTGAATGCACCAGGCAGGGTCCGCAGGAGGGAAGGATGGAGCTCTGGGCGGGGAGGCTGCCGCCCACCTCCAGCAGTCTGAGGTGACGGCTTGTCCACATCTGCTCAGGTGAATGTGTCCTTTTCCCTCTCCCCGGAGCTGCTCTCCTATCAGAAGCTCCCGGCTGACCAGATGTTGTCTGGAGTGGACATTCAGCAGAGCGCGAGTGGAGAGAAAAAGATGGTCTTCACTCAGAATCTGCTTCTGGAATACAGCAACCAGACCACTCAGGTGAGTCCCAGGCCTGCCTCATGTGTTCAGGTGGGGTCAGAGGAGGACAAACCCCAGTTGTCTGCCCTGGAAGAGGCCTGGCACGTGGAGAGATGAGGGTCATCCATCCTTACCTGTCTTAGGAGCTCAGAGCGAGGTGGGGTGCTGTAGGGTGCAAAATCAGGGAAGGCTTCCTGGAGGAGGAGGTGGCATGCGAAGCCTGCATGCTGTTTAACAGGGAGAGAAGGGAAACCAGGCCAAGGGAATGGCCTGATGGGTGGGGACTGAGCAGCTGAGGGACGCCTCCTGGGCTCGTGCGGGACTGCGAGCACCAGGTGAGAATACCACGGGCCTCGTTCTGGTTCTGTGGACTGTGACAGCTCCACACCACAGCCCCTCCTGCCCTGAGTTGGAGAGGCCAAGGGAAAAGGTTAGATGGCCCAGGGCCCAAGGGGAGCAGAGGGCTAGACGAGAGGGGAGAGGAAGGCAGTAGGGCGGCCCGACCAGGGAGCAGAAACCACAGAGCTGGATCCAGGGCAGGGGTGGCAGGGGAGTCAGAGGGGAGCAGATGGCGCCTTCCTGGCCCTTTTCCTGCCCAGAATCCCACCAGCATTCCCCGGCTTTAGATGACAGCGCTGGCCCCCTTCCACCAGCTGTGGTGCTGCCTGTACGTCCCTCAGAAGCTGCAGTACTTGGGGTCGGCAGGGCCCCTGTGTCCCTGGGTCAGAGCCCAGTGGGAGTGGGTAAGGTCACCCAGTCCCCACCAAGTTAAAGGTTCTGTCCCCCGCAAGGTGGTGCCCCTGCGGGCCGTCGTGGCCGTGCCCGAGCTGCAGCTCTCCACCAGCTGGGTGGACTTCGGGACCTGCTTCGTGAACCAGGGCCGCGTCCGGGAGGTCTACCTGATGAACCTGAGCGGCTCCCGGAGCTACTGGGCCGTGTTGACAGGTGTGCCATGCCCTCCTCCCTGCTCCCCCGTGCAGCTGGGCCGAGACCCCCAAGAAGGGGCCTGCGTGCCCTGTCCCTGCAGGCTGGCTCCCCAGGGTTGGGCCCACCTGAGAATTCCTGCAGAGGTGGGCAGGAGCAGAGGCGCACCCCCAAGATGCGGGCAGGGGGCCGAGCGTGGAGCTGGCTCTGCTCCTGCATGTCCCCTTCCCCTCACGCAGGCCAGCAGGAGCCAGACAAGGATCCTGTTGCCTTCAGGGTCTCCCCAAGCAGCGGGCTGCTGGAGGCACGACCGGTCAACGCGCCCCCCACCTCCGTCCCCCTCCAGGTTTCCTTCACCGCCAGGTACGGCCCTCCCAGCCTTGCTGGCGCTGCCTCTGGAGCCCTGGCCCAGGGCCCCCAACTCATCTCCGCCCCTGCTCCCCACAGGAGCTGTGAGCTGTACGAGTCCACGCTGGTGGTGGAAGGCGTGCTCGGTGAGAAATCCGGCACCCTGCGGCTCCGGGGCCGAGGCTCGTATGACGAGAGATATGCATCACCCTACTAGCTCTGAGCCTCTGCCCTCAACCCCCAATACTGGAAATAAACACAGCCCAGAGCTATGGAGCAGGTTTACTGGGCAAAGGCACCTACTGGAGGACCTCTGAACAGCTCCTGGGATGGAGGGACCCCCCACCCCCACCCCGCAACCTGCCCCACCACTTCCAGGCCCTGCACCCTGTGTCCTCAGAGCTAATACAAAGGGTCGGCCACGCCCCTGTGGAGACCAGAGCAGTTAAAAGAGTCACTATTCAGATTCAGCAGAGGCAGGACTAGCATACCAAGAACTGGCTCTTTCTTGGGGGAAAAAACCACAGCCACGGAGAGAAGGTAACGCGTTTACTAGGTTTACTGCACTCCGCATCCACAGGCCCCTTCCCCCAGGAATCACACGGTGGCCTTGCAGGCTGGGTGAGCCAGGCCAACTTTGCCTGTCTCAGCTAGAGGGGCCCGACAGACGGCAGCCCGATACCTCACCCGCTCCCGTACTGTCTCATCAGTGTTCACATTTGCCAGCTCAGCTGAAGTGCCTTGACTTGCCACTGCCACCAGTGCTGGGACTCCCCAGGTGTCACGTCTGTAGCGCTACTGCCAGAGCACTGGGCTGGGCCTCTTTCAGTTTCCAGGGTATTCGAAGACGGCGGCGGCTCCCATGCCGGTCCCGATGCACATGGACACCACCCCATACGCCCTGTGGAAGCAAAATGTGCTGGTTGGGTGAAGGCACAAAGGGCAGAAGCCCAGCCACCAAGCTCTCCCCGGACCAGGCTGAGCTGGGTGGACCAAGGCCTTCACGGGCACAGGACGCCAGACCTCGGGGAACGTGGTTCCCGGCCTGCCCGCCGAGGGGCGCGCACACGGTGGCCGATGCCTGCCGCAGGCCAGGGGCCCGTCTCCTCGGCTCGGAGTGTGTGGGGGGCGGGGGCGCGTACACCTCCCCCCATCAGGCGCACCAGCTGGGACCCCCCCGACCCCCACGGGGACCGGCCTTACCGCCTCCCGCGGCGCTTCAGCTCGTTGAGCAGCGTGATGACCTGTCGTGCCCCAGTGCAGCCCAGCGGGTGGCCCAAGGCCACCGCACCCCCCAGAGGGTTCACCTTCTCAGGGGGCAGTTGCAGCTTCTCCACACAGTAGACGACCTGGAGGGAGGCTGAGCATCAGTGTAGCTCCCTCCCCAGTCCCCCGCACCACCCTCCCGCTGCCTCCAACTGGGCGGCCCAGGCAACAATGCAAAACAGGCTCACCTGACTTGCGAAGGCCTCATTGATCTCAAAGATGTCCACGTCCTCCACCGTCAACCCTGCAGGCAAGCGGAAAAGACCTGAGCTGACCCAGCGGCCCCTTAGCAGGCTTCTCAGACTCCCTGGGGCCCTACGCCATCCATGGCCTGGAGGCTGGGCTGCCCGGTGTGTCTGCCTCTGTTCCAGATGGGTGAGCGGGTCCCAGGTGTGGGGTCAGGAAGGGGTCGGGGTGCCCCACCTTCACTCTGCGGCACCCGCAGGCCCACCCCGGGCACCCGCCTCTGGCAACAGCACGAGAGGCAGGGGCTGGATCCAAACCTAGGGTGTGAAGGAGCCATCTTACCTGCTTTTTGCAAAGCTACAGGGATAGCATAGGCAGGTCCAACGCCCATGATGTCAGGCGGGACCCCAACCACTGCGTAGGACCTCAGGACCCCAAGGATGGGAAGGCCCAACTCTTCTGCCTTGGACCTCCTGGCCAGCAGGATGGCAGCTGCCCCGTCACTCACCTGGCTAGAGTTTCCTAGAGGCAAACCACAGGGTTAAGGAGGCCTCGGGGCAGCTCCGAGGAGGTCCAGACCTTCCATATCCACCCTGCCCGGTGGCTCCAGGCTCCCAGAGGAGAACACCCGGCACGGAAGCAGCCCCCTCCTCACCCCACCCCCAGCCCAGTCTCACCAGCTGTGGTAGAGCCCCCCTTCTTGAAGGCAGGCTTCAGTTTGGCCAGGCCCTCCAGGGTGGTGTCGGGGCGGATGCCCTCATCGTGGGCCACGGTGACACTTCTCTCAGTGCCCTTGTCATCACGGACCGTGGTGGTCACAGGCACAATCTCAGCTTGGAAACAGCCCTTGCTCTGGGCTCTGGCTGCCCTGCCAGCACCGTGGACAGCCAGGCTCAGGTTTCCATGGGGTTACCTTCCTTCCTGGGGTCCCTCCCTGAGGCCTCCGCCTCCTGCCCTGCCCTCTGGGACAGACATGCAAGCTCAGACTGCTACATGCGGGGTCACACTCACCTCGGGGGCAGTGCACAGGGTCCCCTACTACCCCACCTGCCCTGGGACTGGGAAGCCCAGGGCTTTACAGGGACTTCTTGGCCATCAGCCTTAGATCTTCAGATCCTGGCTTATCCCAACCTCAAAGGGGAGGGGGAAGTTTGGAAGTGGCGGCTCCCCTTTGAGACCTTCACCCAAGAGGGACTAAGCCAAACTGAGGCTGGAGCCCCAGGAATATTTGTGCTGGGTTCTGCCAGCTTTTCTGTTCCCTCCCGTCGCTCAATTCCATCCATTCCCCATGTTTCCACGTGATTAAAATGACATATACTACCCTGAATATATCTATGCAAAATTTGCATGAGTGACACTTACGATTAACACAGACTTGTTAGTGAAATAAAATCTTTTAAATGTCAAAATAAAATAAAAAGCCATATACCAAACTACCGGACGAATCTTTGTATTTAAACAGTGTAAAAGCACAGGGCATTTTAGGGTGGTCTTTGCAATCATGCAAAATGTAAGGGCCCACAGGCATTCCCATGGGGAGGAAGCCATGGCTTTCACCAAATTCTTAAATGGTTACTTGCACCCAAGTGGCTAAGAACCACTGCCTCAGTGTCCCCAGCCCCTGCCTCAGGATGCTACCCCAGACTCAGGGATGCCAGGGTCCCCGGCAGCACTGGCTCCACCCTCCAGGCTATCCAGAGAAGCCTGTGGTTACCATGTCTAATCACCAAACCACAGCCAACTAGAGAAGAGCCCTGGCCCTCCTTACACTCTCAATAAATGGATCGGGAAACCGAGGCCAAGCTACGGAAAGACACTCAGGGTAAACAGACTGTAACGGGACACAGTGCTAACTGCACAGTGGCCCCCCCGCCCTCCCCCACCTCCCCCTTCTGGGAGGTAGAGGCTTAGAAACCAGTGATAGCCTAAGGGCAGCTCCACCTGAGATCACTTAGGACAGCCTCCAAACCTCACTCTCCAGCCCCTTAAACATCTCACCCCAAATAGCACTCACTTTTGCTGGGAAGCCAGTGCAAAGGTATCCTGCTTCTCCCGCGAAATGCCAAATCGCTCGGCTACGTTCTCTGAGGTTATCCTAGAACACAGACAACAACAGTGAGCGTGGAGCCAGGCAGCCTGGGGACGGGCCCCAGGGCTGCAGGCAGGAGAACCGGAGGGCCTGTCTGTGCCACAGTGACAGTAGTGATGACTCAGGGTGGAGCACAGGCAGGGAGTCAGTGACGCTGGCCAGACTCTAAGACGCCTGTTCACCAGAGACCAGCACACAGGAGGGCGTGGGTAGGGCACTAACTGGCTTGGCCAGCTTCTCCTGTGCCTCAATGAAAAGTGCTTTACCGTGGGAGAGGAGTCCCCCTCTGGGAAGGCCACACCCAGCTTTCTGCTCCCCGTAGCTGGAGCCTCCCCTCATCCTGGGAGCCCAGAGCCACAGAGGGGCCTTTGGCCGGGGCTTCTGGCTTTACAGGCTTCCCTCGGAGATGGTCCCTGGATGTGGAGGCAGCCGCACATCCCCTCACACGTCCAGCGGAGCCACGACTCCCTGCCCACGGACCCCGGGGGTGGCTCTGGATGCCTTTGATGCTGCACTGACAGGGCCCAAGGGCCCTCGCCAGCATGGCCGGTGAGCAAAAGCCTCCCGCCTCCTCAACTTTCTAGGCCTCCAAGGCTTTAGGGTGCAGCTGCCATCATGCCTTGTGTGACTGAGCCCCTCAGGGTGGGAGTGACAGGCTGGGCCATGCTTGGAAACCCAGAGGCACAGAGCGGACTGGGGGCCTCAGGACACGGAAGTCAGGGCCAGCACTAAGTCCCATGCCCAGAGTCCCTGCAGAGCAGACCAGGGCCGAAGGCGGGAGGCCACAAGATAATCCAAGTTCCTGCACCCCTGCTCCGGGCCAGGCAGGGAGCTGAGCGGGGACAGGCACACGGAGCCACGGTGGGCGCTCACCCCATAGGAATCAGGCAATCTCTGGCCTTCTCCTTCTCCACCAAGCGAGAGGTAACATTTCCAGGGTTCCCTCTGTCTGCCAGGGACATGGACTCCACCCTGAAGAGGAGGTGATCATCAGCGGGACTCCCCACGGAGAGCTCTGCGTCTGGCAAGTGCTGGGAAATGGCCAGGGAGCTCAAGGCAGAGCACCGGCCGGCAGCACAGAGTTGGGGGTGCAGGGCTGCTGAGCCCCAGCCGCACCCTCGCCCCCACCGCTGCACAGTCCACATGCCTGGGCAGGGCCTCACTTCCCAGCACAATTGGTCCTGCAGCCAGTCCCAAGGAAGGCAGCCTAGTGTTGGCCACCGTGGGAGAAACACATCTAAGGAGCCCGGGCCCTGCCCTCAGGGGCCACAAATTCAGCGGAGAGAAGAGACAAATGTTTCAAAAGCTGCACATCAAAGAGCAAGCCGACCTGCATAGACCAGGAGGTGCTAGGAGCCCAGGGAAACACGAGCGATCTCAGTTTAGTGTGGTCAAAAGGGCTTCCAGGAGGTGGCAGGATACAAGGCCTCAAAGGATGACAACACATAACCTTGACTGCACGCTTTTCATGCGCCCAGCGCTACTGTAAAAATCTTTTCTGGGAATTCCCTGGCCGTCCAGCGGTTAAGACCGCGCTTCCACCGCAGTGGGCACAAGTTCGATCCCTGGTCGGGGAACTAAGGTCCCGCACGCCCTGCAGTGTGGCCACCCTGCCCCCACAAAAAAAAAAAAAAAAAAAGTCTTTTCAGGTATAAGAGCACTTTGAACAGTGTCAGGCTCAGAGAAGCTGAGTTAACTTGTCCATGGTCACTCAGCCAGGATCCAGATTTAGGTAGTCTGGCTTCAGAGCCCACTGCCACCTAGGATATCCTGGGCTACTCATCACGATCACAGTCTACGGGGAACAGTCAGCCTGTGACATGGGGGAATGTCCTGGCCCCAAATCCTTAATACCCTAGTAACACAGTCTTTTAATTTGCTTGGGGACTCAGATACCCTCTAAGAAACACATGAAGGCTCCGACCTTCTCCTCAGGTCACCCACACC